TTTAAAGTCTTTCAATCAACACTTCAAAGTACAAAAGTGTTGGAAAATAAAATCAATAATTCAATATAAAAGAGGGCTGGAGAATAAAATCAACACTTCAAAATGGAATATTGCAGGACAATGAACTATTATGCATATAGATTTTGAAAAGTCTCAGAAAATGAGCATTTTTGTCAAATCTTAAGATTTTGTAAGTTGTTCTTAAATCGATGGAAACTCAACATTATGTGTGGCCAGTTAACTCAGCTGTTCAGCGCATGGTGCTTGTAACACCGAGGTCTTGGGTTCAATAACCACATGGTTCAGCTTTAAAGTCTTTCAGATAATCAACACTTCAAAATAAAAAGTTGAATATTATGCAGGTTGATTTTGAAAAGCCTTAGAATATGAGCACTTTTGTTAAATCAAGATAATGAAAGTTGTTCTTGAATCCATGAAAACTCACCATAATTTATGGCCGATTAGCTCAGCTGGTCAGAGCGTGGTGCTGGTACCACTGAGGTCTTGGGTTCAGTCCCCACACTTATTTGGCATTATTCAAGAAATCTGCAGTAGCACATAGTTGAATGTGAGCATAATGATGAAATAATGCAGCATTCTTTAATATTTACAACGCTAAATGGTAATATCGCTAACTCCTGTAAGTGTGCAGGGTTTCAAAAACAAAGATGGCTGAATGCATGTTGATGTCTCACCTGCTTAAAGAGGCTTTTATGGGGTCAGAAAACGTTTTATTTAGGAACCTTTTTCCTTTTTTTACACAATGACAACACACTGATGACATCATAGAATCAACTTACAGTAAAGGGCTTGTCAACAAAGCCTTAGCAACACATGCTCCCTGGGCTGATTAGCATCAGAGGATATTTACCTTCAATGCACCGGGAGGGCTGCCTGATTTAGGCCTTTTAAGGCTTTCACTTTCCATTTGGCTAAACTTTCAACTTAGGCCTAAAATCTTTCCACAATAACGTGGATACAAAGTCCTCTGAGCCGATAAGTTGCTGCTAAACTTAAAGGGGAGCGCCACTCAGTTTCAGGTGATAAGAGAGCAGGGGCGTAGCCATAAGGTGGCTGGGGGGGGACCGGCTACCCTCATATTCTACATAGACTCCATGTCAGTAGCAGGGGTGAATCATATTAACCAAATTATTCATGATTAATTATCAACTAATTTTAAGCGTTTGTTAGCTGGAGCATAAAAAAGGCATTTGCTGAAAGAATAAAACAGAACAGTGATTGAACCAAATGCACCTGCTGCATTTAACATATGTTTTAAAATTTTATTTTGCAAAAATGTGTCATTCCCATTAATTAACAAGAAATTATAGCTAAGTGGCTAATTTCCATCTCTAGTCCCATTATCAGTTTGATGTATATGATGTTAAACAATTATAATATGGAAAATCAGCTTCAGCCAACTACACAAAAAATATATATACATAAAGGAGCAAAGAGGGAAATTAAACAGTTATTTGCAATTTGTAGTCAGTAATTTTGACTTTAAGTTGAACAGTTAGCTTAACGGGGCTAAAAACAGAGTTTTATACAGTTAAGCTAGGCTAAGCTAAAACAGGCTAATCGTGTGGTTAGCCACTGTAGCCAACAAATCTATGCTAAGCAGATCTATATGTTTTGTTTGGGTAAATAAATAGTTTGAATATTCAAGTTTTGCCCCATTGTCCATGAAATTTCAATTTTACAGTTTGTGCTCCTGCCTGGCCCCCCCAAGAAAAAAAATCTAGACACGCCCCTGCAAGACAGCTGGGGGTAAATTTTATTTTAACCACAAGAAAAAAATATATATATATTTATTAGATTTGAGTGGCAATCCTCTTTAATACATCTGCCTAACAACTGGAAAAAAGACTGTAATATACAAGACACACGACTCTCAGCACGGTTCTATTAAAAGCGCAAGATTATAAAACATTGACATCATCGAGAGGTCGTGCTGTACAGAGAGCTGACATGCGTGGCGCAGCTCTCCTCTGCTACCGGCTGAATCTGTGGAGCTACATCGAGTGAGGCGGTAAGGCAGGGGTGTCCAAAGCGCGGCCCGGGGGCCATTCACAGCCCTTGAAATGATTTTCAGTGGCCCTTTCAAGAGTAACCTGAATTTGGTTTGCTAGTTCAGGCGGTGGATACGGATTTAAAAACTATTTTAGAGTGAAATCTTAAAATGTAAATGTATTAAAAGATTTTTGCTTTTAATTTATTTACTATTAACTGGGGTTAAAAACGTCTTTATTACTGTGTAATAAACTCTTCAAAATGAAGCAAGAGCCATAAAATCTTCTTGTTGCTGAAAAGATTGGGCCTCTCGCAATAAATAAATTCATAGCAACAAACTCAATAATTTCCATTTGCATTATTTATCATTTTTTCATTCTTTTTTTCTACTAAAAACTGGATGAAAAAAGTGTTTAGACACAACTAGCCCTTTTTCTAAAGGATAATTTTATCTGTTGTTTGTATTTATTTTTCTTATTTATTTTTGGATTCTTTTTTTAATATTCCAGTGATAAAGATGAATTAGAATTTAAAGTTTATTCATATTAGAGAAAGCACTGCCTTGTTTTTGATACTTGAAAATGGTCTCAAAGCAACAATATTATCATTTATTGCGATAACTTCTCGGACAATTTATCACCCAGCAAAATCTAATAATATTTAATAAAGTATTTTAGAATTTGAATAAATATAATCCTTGATTACAGGTGATAATTTTAACTGAAGTTTCTTTTATTTTAGAATAAAAATTGCTCCTTTAGATAGGTAAACAATTATTCATTAACATCATAATTATCGTTTATCGTGATAAATTCTGGGAAATTTTTTTTACCTCGAAAACGACTAAAAAATTTAGAAAAATATCAACTTGAAAAATTTACAATGTTTTTTTTTTTATCTTTCAAACCTGCAAAACCGTTTTATGTTTTTAATATACAGTAATTTAAAACTCTGACTGCTATCATCATGATATTTTATCAACATAAAATATTTTTTGCAATAATAATGAAATACAAAAATACTAAAAAGTATTTCCAACGTGCCGTTTCTGGCCCCCCTGCCGACCGTTTGGACACCGCTGCAGTGAGGGAAAGCTTTAGTGTTTACAGAGCAAAAAGGTAAAAGTCCTTCTACGGGCGGCGAAGGCGTCCGTTCAGCAGACCAGGAAGTGTTCGCATCCGCCCAAAATAATTACACCACCAAAAAAAAAAAAAAAAGAAGAGCAAACGTTCTTCACATTCCCAAACCGTCCAAAGTTTTCCCAACGTCTCAGCGGAGGAACAGCGTCTTTTCTGTCCTCCTCATGCAGAGCGGCGGCTGCTTCAGGCCAGCTCGGAAAAATGAAGCTCTCTCAAAGCTGGTGGGAGGAAAACAGAATGGAAAAGTGGTGAAACTCGACGGGAAGAAGATGCGACGCGTCGCTGCGGGGCGTTTAGGTCGGCAGCGGGTCGTCGTCGCCTTTGCTGCATTTGCACTTGCAGCAGAGGACGATGGGCGTGGCCAGCAGGAGGAAGGGCGAGGCGACCAGCAGGAGCAGGCCGAACCCGGCGAAGATCCCCACAACCTGGCAGGGAAACAAACGTTTTAAAAGCGGCACTGAAACATACGTTTAAAATGTCTGTAGAAAGTGTCTGTTTATCAAGAATTAGACTCAAAAGGTGATTTTTTTTAGAATAAAGTCTGTTAGTAAAATAAAGATGCACCATTACCAGATAAAGCTGTTTCTAATGAGAGTAAAGCTTCGTTATTCAGATCTGTTGTGATTTGCTCGTCTAGTTTCAGATTCTTTCTTCTAAAATAAATTGTTGTTCAAACATTTCAAAGTTCTGCTGCTGATAATCTGATGCTGATGCGTTAAAAAGTTACGTTTGTTTTTTTTTAAGTATAACTTCACAGGACGCTCAACAAGTTTTTACATTTTTGTGTAGGACAAAAATGACTTTTCTCGCATTGTTGCGTCTTATTTAATTAATTCTCATAATATTCCGACTTCATTCTCGTAAATGAACGTTTTATCTTATAAATGTTCCTCACAGGATTTAGATTTGTTAATCTCTTTAATTCTGTTCAGAAAATTATCTTGGATCCGTGGTTTACAATCTTTACAATTTAGAGTCATTTTTATTCTAATATAAACCAAATAAAACTTGTTTAGAGCTGCAAATTAGGGCTGTTGTAAACGAATATTTTAGTAATCGAGTAATCTATCGATTATTCTTACAATTAATCGAGTAATCGGATAAAAAAAATTCTAAAATGAAATATTGGTAAATCTGGCATAATACCGGTGTTACTATCAGATA